ATTCTGGGAACAAGGTCACATTTTTTTTGGTTATAATTAGTGGACGTTTTTCGATTTGGGGGCACCCAACGCACCCCCCCCCCCGCCTGGATACGGGCCTGAACCTTAATTTCGTTGGAGGGCAGCAGCGCCAAGACGCGCTCTGCCGCCAGCCATGGAACAACATTATGGCTGCCGCTTTGGAACTGGAATAAAAAGTAAATAATTAAATTGACTCCAATTCAGGAAATAATATGCTAATAAGACGAATACTATATATACAGTGATTTAAAAACATTATTTTCAACACGATTGAGAGAAAAAAAATGTGGGTCTTCGTTTTTCGGTCTTCGTTTTGTAGACACCCATATATGGGTGTCTATAAAACAAAGACCTTTGATAATTTCACAAACTAAAGTTCAAATAACCTCGTAATTGTGATTTTGTGACAGCCAGGTGTATTATCATCAAAACAAAAGAGAAAAAATAGGGGTCTTCGTTTTTGGGTCTTCGGTCTTCGTTTTATAGGCACCCATATAGAGTGTCTATAAAACGAAGACCCTTAAGTATATTTCTTGATATTCCTAATTTTATTCCAATGAAATAATGAAATACGTACTTGGCAACTGTTTTATGATGATTTTGAAATACTTACAATAAGATAATTGCGAAATAATTGAAGGTCTTCGTTTTTCAGGTCTTCGGTCTTCGTTTTGTAGACACCCATATAGAGTGTGTATAAAACGAAGACCCTTGAATATTTCACAAACAGACGCCCAAAAAATTTCGTAATTTTGATTTTGTGACAGCCAGGTTCATTATCATCAAAATAAAATAGAAAAAATAGGGGTCTTCGGTCTTCGTTTTATAGACACCCCAAATCGTCCTTACCCTGTTGTTACACCATATACACAGGCATTTCAGCATGGCAGGGGCAACACGACATGCAATACTGTCCACAAATAATTACGGGTACTCTGTTGTACCTCGCCATCGCGGGCTGAGGCAGCTTTGCAACTAACCAATTCATTTCAGATTCAGTTTACTCCACTGAAAACGTGCCTATCAGCGGCTGGCTGCGGCTACGTAGTGAAAACTGTTTTCCTCGATATTGTACGTTTGGAAAGTCCATTAAGACTTAATAATGCCTGCCAGCAGTGGGCTGGGACAGTTTACAGAAAACACTATGTATATTAACTTTAATTTAATTTTGTATTTATTGCACTGCAACAAACATATTTACTAATCGGGTGTGGGAGTTTTCTTAACTGAAAGCCTGCCTGTCAGCGGCTGGCTAGGGCATCGCTGTTAACAATATTCTCTTCGATACGGTTCGCAGGATAACTCCACTAATTAGAAACAGGCTTGTCAGCAGATGGCTGGGGCAGTTTTCAGCAAACAAGGTCTTTAAATAATTATCTATTATTTTGGTATTTCCAGTACATTATTTTAATATAAATCATAGGTTTAGCCTAAGGCATGCTTTAAATTATTTTTCACATAAAAGTTCGGTATAGTACGCATCTGATAAGATGACCCTAGAAACCGACAAATAGTTAGAACGTTTCAAGTATGTACGGTAAACTTGAAAATGACGCATGCTGAGTAGCTAGATTTTATATGGTTACAGCAAGGACTTTTAACTGCTACGGCACCCTGCCGCTTGGCTTGTTGGCTATTTCATAAGAATTTTTACTATGGAAATTAATTTAAGGGACCGATCGTGTGCGACGGTCCCTTTGCCTTTTATCGCAATAAATCACGACCGAATAACACTATATAAGATTATGTGTTACTTTATTGTGTACAGTGTATTGAGGGTGGTGGTCAAGAGTGAGCGGGTCCACATATTTAATTCTTAGACCGGTAGACACAAATAAATTTTTCTGAGATCAGCGGAAAAACTCTTTGTGTCAATGGGCGTAGGTACACCCCAATGGGTGCCGCTCGGTCCGCGTAGTAATTTCAATCTTGCATTTTCTCGTGTGGATATACAACCGGACCCAAATTTTCTCGTTGTGGATTGAAATTGCCTCGCTCCGTGCACCGATAACTCCTTGGAAAGTCTTTTTCCCGCCTGACACCCCTTCCTCCTCAAATATACTAGAGCGGTACGGAACCCTGAAGCTTGGCTTGTATGCCACTTTTTTAAGATGTTTTACTATGCAAAATTTAAGGAACCGATCGTGTGCGACGGTCCCTTTGCTTTTGTCGTAATAAATCACTACCGAATCACACTATAACAGATTATGCGTTACTTTATTGTGTACAGTGTATTGAGGTCAAGAGTGGGTGGGTCCACATATTTAATTCATAAACCAGTAGACACAAATGATAAGGTAAATGTACCCAAGTCATACGCTGATGCTTCAAGACAACCTCTGAATGTTACTACCAATAATAGTTGTTGCTTCTAATGCACAAGTGAGTGGTCCTGCTAGTAACTCAACATCCAGTAATCGGTGGATAAAAATGCAGCAAAGATTAAGAAAAATAAATTATGGCAGAGCGACTGGTTGTAGCACGGAAATCAAAGGGAAACCACCTCCAGTGCACAAGGTGTTTGAGAACTTGATGCCGGACACCATTTCCCAGAGTGTTAAAGACTATGTTAAAAAGGGGTGATCTATAAATTAAATTTTCGTAGAGATTACCGTTCAAGACTTTTGTAATAAATGCTGAACAGCATCTAAAGAGTCAAATTGTGAAACTATCTCTACGGCCTGAAGGATATATGATCCGAAGATACTACGAATCCAAGACCTATACGGGAGGTATGGGCGGGAATAAGCCATTTTAATGATAATGAAAGTCGTGATGATTATAATGTTGATAATGATAGCGAGGATGATGGTGATGTTGATGATAATGATGGTGCTTGGTAAAGAGATTACAACTACTGTACATAATAATATTATTGGATACCTCCAAAATACAAGATGTTGAATTTGTTATTTTTAAATGTAAACAATTTAAATCACATCATAAGAAAGTCCATGATTCGTGCTGTAATTATGGCATTATGTTTACAGGAACATTGGTAACTTAATGAGGAATTAGTTATGCTCAAGAATGTACATGATGAATTATGATGCCATATCTGTATTTGGTATAAACTCTTCCAAATATATTATTAGGAACGTCCCTTTGGTGGAGTTTCTATTTTGTATAGTAAGAAGTTTGCTGCGCACACCAAACCCTATCCCCGAATTATCGGACTAGAAATAGCAGAGGGAGACAATAAAACCCTTCTATTATGTGTTTATTTTTCCTATGAGTGCGAAGATAATTTTTTTAATTCATGGAATACATTGGAAAAAAAATCAATTATATGTACAGTAATTCTGTACATTGTGACAAAATATCTGATGAGAACATTAATCTATATAGTGACATTTCTGATTGTTTGTTTAGTATTATACAACTTGGAAGTGACCATAGCTTGCAATAATGTGTGTTGCAATAATGACGGTCATATGAATGAAATTGATAAACTGTATGAAAATAATTATTGTTAACTGTCTAGTTATAGCCTCTGATATATGTTTTGGTACAATATTGAAAACAACGTCAAGTTATAATGTACATGGGTGATATTGTCTTTGAAGTTTTTGAGTCTTTGATTATAGACGTTGCTGGGGAGACTTTTATTTTTGTGTTAAACAACAGTGGTAGCCCGGTGTATGTTTGCTTCCTAGGCTCGAGCAAAGCTTTTGATAGAGTTTTTTTAAAGAACTTATTGACAGAGGTACAGATTATGCGGTCATTAATGTTCTTGTTAGTTGGTACAGCACTCAACAATTTCTTGTGTGTGTGTGTGTGTATGGGGGTGGGTGTGTGTGTGTGTGTAGGAAACATTGCACACCTGGATTCTCTGTGTCGAACGGAGTTCGCCAGGGAGGGGTGATGTCCCTATTGTTGAATAACATGTATAAGGACTCTCAAAGTGAAACGCTAGGAAATAGTAATGGTTGTGAAAGTAATGGTATTAGTTTTAATCAGCTTTGTCATGCGGGTGATATGTTTGTATTGCCTCCTTCTTTATTGGGTCTTCAGTGCATTATGGATATTTGTCATTCGCATGCTGATACTCATAATATTGTATATAATAACAAATCCAAGAGTATGTTTTTTTTACCCGCCTGTTAAGAAATTGGATTTAAATCTTGAAACTGTTTTCGGTGATAAATGTCTAACGTATAGACAAATTCACATGTCTTGGTCATACAATAACTTCTAGTCTAAACGAACACCTATTGCTCGTCAATATAGATCGTTATGTATTAAGGGAAACATCCTGAAGATTCGTTTTCGTAATTGTACAATTAATGTGAAATGTGCTTAATTGTTTAATGCCTATTGTATTAATTTTTACTGTGTCAATATATAGTGCAAATACAGTGCTACAACAATGCTTTGTGGTTACTGTTGAACAAACTCAGATCATTCAATGATAGTGAAATGTTTGTTTCCAACTCTCTTTCCAGTTTTGGTGAAATTTATTAGAAATCCGTCTATGGTTTCATTGAGAGGGTAATAAATTGTGAGAATACATTAGTGAAGTTCATAATATCTGAGATAATATGATCAAGTTCTCAAGGACAACCGTTTAAATGTAAAACGGATGTCCCTACTGCATACACAAACGCAAGTTTAAATTGTGCTTGAGAGGTGCTACAGTATATTTATGTTTATATATTTACTTTATATCTTTAGTATTGTACTCTATGAACTAGTTTTCGAAACAATGAAAATAATATTGTATTTTGAGGAGGTATTTAGAATTAAATTACAAGTTCAAGGTATATGGCATAAACAAATATTATGCAAAAGAAGATAAACAAGTATAAATTATAAAATATATATTAATATATATATATATATTATTATATAAATATATATATATTAGCCTATGTGAACAGAGAATATGAATACGAGTTAAAATCATTTTAGTAGGTCTAATAGTAGGTGTTGAATATAGTATTAATTATGAAATACCAAAACAACTTGTTTTGACTTACTATCTTCACAGCTTTCTCCTTTAAATCCTGGTGCACAAATACAGTTACCTTTCTTGTCCTCGCATACGCCACCATTATAACAATTATTACAAATACCTGTACATCCAGGTGCACCCCAGTGGCCAGTAGGACATTCTGAATGAAATAAAAGTACATTTGCGGTCAGTGAGCTTATGAAAGCTGAACTTCCGTCACTAACCCAAAATATTCTTCATTTTGGAGTGGTCTGCAGCACATGAGCTTAAACCATGTTATAGTGTGTAGGTTGTCTTCGGTGCGCGTGCCAAGGCCGAGCACCAGGTTGTGCTGTCACCAAGGGTTTGGTTCGAGGGGAACGCGAAATGGGATATGATTGCGAAACGAAAGCTCACTATTTTTTTTTAACGAGAACAGGAAATTTTCTTGGAGGACTGGTTGCCGAACGAGATAACGAAAGCTCTCTAATAACATTCTACTGTCACGGCTCGGGCCTGGTCACTTTGTTGGAGTCTAACTACTCGACCCTATAGAACAGTAATTTCCTCCCGAAACAGCTAGGAGTCTAGGCCTAGTCACCTAGAATCAAATCCAAGGCATGGTTTAGAAATACAAACAAAGTACTAGTAAGTACTCACGTATGTACGATTATTTGTTAATGTAGGCCTATTATGCCTACCATATTATTTATATTCTTTATATTTTAAAATATATGCCTACGAACGACTCTCGTGAAGATTTATAATACTGAATCATCTTACTGCGGCGACTGGTTAAGATTTCTGATACTGTACAGCGGATGAATATTCCTGATACAGTACCGTACGATAGATAGACCTTCATGTTATTTTCCCAATTTATGTTAACCCTATTGATTTCAAATTCAGCAGAAAAAAGTGTGTGATATCCCAAAAATATTAAGATAAAAATGTTTTATGAATGGTGTAAGAATAGCCACTGTGATTTTTATGTAACAATTACAAAAAAAAAAAAAAAAAAAAAAACACCCTGAAAATTATTTTAAGTCAGCAAACTAAGACTTTGTGAAATAAGGTTTTGGAAATTTCAAATTTAGGTCTTGAAAAGTTATAGAAGTTTGTTGTCACATAAGGTGTATGAATCCTGTTATAAGATACATACTGTAATGACCGTAAAAATTGTGAGGAAATAAAATAAACAATCAAAACATGTCCGGTTCTTGTCAAATGCTTCATAATTTACGATTGTGTCAGTTATATTACAAAAACAATGAGAACAACGAAAAAGTTGCATGTCTGTGCCACAAATGAATAAATGCCATATGTCCGAGGCAGATCTAGGAATTTTGGAAAAGGGGAGGGGCGTAGTTTATGAAAAATGGTTGCTGTATAAATATTATACAAAATCCTAATTTGAGAAGCCAAACAACATTACATCTTCTGGGATAGCTAGTTAATTAACCATTAATTGGATATTAGAGAGTAATTTTAAATTTTTTGTATTGTTTAAAAGTGTGCAAAATTATTATTTTATTGATCCATTTGGTATTCTCTAGAATGAAAAATATTTCATAGCGTACCTAAAAATCAATAACCAACCTTTCACAATCAGTTCAATAAATGAATGATTGTATTCATCCCTTTGTCCATCTATATAAAGTTCATACATGCCACCATCATCAACTTTTACACTAGTAAAATTTAAGCTTGAATGATCATAAAGTTTCTCATAGTTATCCAGCAGTTCACCATTCTTCCTCCAAATGTGGTTACTGGACGCTCTCACATCGAATGATACAGTAACAGATTCTCCAACAGAAGCAGTGATACTTGTTTTTTCGTTTGTTGGTGTAACATCAGCTAGAACAGAAAAGCGGCTTATAATTCATACATTGTTAATATTTTATCATTATGTTTTCATTGCCATTATTGTTTTTGTCATTTGCTGTTAAGCCTATTCAAAAGTAATACTATGAGCTATTATGTCTCAACGCGTAATTAATATTTTGTAATTAAGATAATTAATTTAAACAATATTTTAAGATTATTGTAAATAATATTTATAATTGTATCAGTCACACTCTAAATGAAGTTCAATAATAAATAAATTAGGTACATTTTAGATCTTTACTATCAATTGGTAAATACCGTGCTCTCAATCTAGCCACATAGGACCGCAATAAAATCAATTATCACTGCTTTGTTCACCGCTTTTTATATTTAACTTAATTTTATCTTCTAAACAAACTAGAACACTTATTCGCTTACAACACACTTTACTAGAACACTTAAAAGACCATCAGCTTAATTCAACGTTTCAAAAATTATTATTAGTTCTTCGCGCGTCTGTATCCTATGAGAATCAACATTAAATGGGTAGGTATGGTCACTCGAAGCTATGCCATGGTGACTTCATCGAGGGAATCTCTGTTCGCCTTTTGGGTGGTCTAAAGTCAGAGTAGTGGTAGATGATGCGGTCGACTGTTAGTCAGAATTTAGAAATCGTTTCCGACAAGTGTAACAATAGAAACTGCCTTAGATGCTTAGAATTAAGAGTAACAAAAGGATACTTACAATCTGAAGCGCCCTCTAGATTCACAACTGTAGTTTTTACAATGGTTGTCTCACCATTTAGTACACCTTTGCAGTAATATACTCCAAAGAAGTTTCCATCATAGGGTATATACATGTCCTTAGCATAAGGATAAGCACCCTTATCTTTTAGAGGTGGTTCAGCAAGCGAGTCAGTATTAGATATTTTAAATAACTTTCCCATGGATATTATTGTGCTACTATTTGTTGGGTAGCACTGGAGCTGGCCAATATTGTTAAAAGCCGACTGAACATTAAAAACGGTTAAGTATGGATTGGCAGCACAACCTGTAAGACAAGTTGAAAAAAAAAACAACACAAATAGTGAAACGAATTTAAAATCCTTTGTTGATATATGGTATTTTCCCGTCTGTGTATGAAGACTTATCTACAGGGGGTAATATGGAAATACTATTGTTATAATCGGGTCTATGCCCGTTGCCACCTGGCCCGTTGCCACCCAACCCGTTGCCACCCAACCCGTTGCCACCCAGCCACTTACCACCCGGCCATTTGCCACCCAGCCTTTTGCCACCCGGCTTTTTGTCATCTAGGCTGGTTGCCCCCCGGACTTTTGCCAACCGGCCCATTGCCACTCTAGGCCCGTTGCACCCGACCTTTTGCCACCCAGTTTTTTGCCACCTGCCTGTTGCCACCCTAGGCCCGTTGCCACCCATTATGATACAGTAAAGCATTTTATTCTCGAAAATTTCACTCTCGGACTGTCTTGTTGGAAAACACACACAAGCGATGGACTGTCTTGTTGTATTCCAGATATGCTGCCGAAGGAGTCGAGGTAGAATCACCTTAAACGTGAATTGTACAGCACGGAACATTGAACAGGTATTACTACAGGATTGTTGAAATAATTGACATTTACCTTTAATTTGTTATTTGCTCTTATTATATTTATGATATGAAGATGCATGAGATACCAATTGATTCCCTGAATGAGATAGTTTGCATGATATATACAGATTTCTATAACTTATTGTTATTAATTATGAATGAAACTATTTGCATGAGATACCGACTGATTCCATGATATTATATTATCTATGTTATATACCATGAATAAGCTGCTCGCTAAGTTTGTTCATGTGATCCCCTGGTACACACTCTGCTCCTCTCATCTCATCAATGAACTCCATTGGTTGCGAGTTAATAATAGAATTTTCAAAATCTTTCTCCAAACTATTTATGTGGTTTTCTTGTCCAACGTATCTCTTCAGGTACAACACGTTTCTCATCGTCTGTACATTTCATTATACCACGTTACAACAAAATAATTGGTTTTTCAATCCCTTGTTATGCTTCTATACTTTAATAAATAATCTTCCAACTGACATTAGGGTATTTCAGATCCTAATATTTTTTCTTACCGGTCCTGTGACAAACGGTGATCAAATCGACAATATGATGATCTATTTTGTTAGTTTTCCAAACCGGTAGGTTTCGAATTCCAGACGTTTATTGAATACCTCTGTTTGGCATAGTGGCTGTTGGGCATTTAATTCAACAAAAATTCAAGTTGATGATTTTGATATAGGACCCTGAAATAGTCTTCTAGCAGCCATCCGTTAGTATCCAGCGCATAGACCGTGAAGGCTAGTTTGCGCTTTAGTATGCCTCCCATTAACCAGGTGATTTGAATATGTTTATTTTCTTTTATCATTAATTGATCAGTTTATGTTCGAATAACCATTTTATATAATGAGTTTAGTTTGTTTCTCATTTCAATTAAATTTATTAAATTATACAATTATTTAATTAATTAATATATGTTGAATTTCAGAATCATTCATATTATTGGCGCTGTAATTTATATGATTATGCAGGCATTGGAATGGACTTAAAAGGGGTATTGCAAAAGAAAAATGAATACAGTATTACAATGTTTGTTAATGATTAATTAATTTTTGATGAACTCTACTGCCTCCTAGAAAAGGCGAAAACCTAAAAAAAGTAAGTATAACTTTGAAATGCTTAGTCCAAAAAAATATTCATGTTATTAAATAAAAGTCACAGATAAAAGAAAACAGTTTTCAATAATGTACAGATATTTTACCCAAAAAAAACACCAACATTTGTGTTTATTTACTGCCAGAAATAAAATGTACACATATGATTATAAGGACATTTAATTAGCGAGGATTTTTTTTTGGTTCTTATATTCAGACGAGAGCTAACAGATTATTTAGGTATACACATGAAGTATTTTTTTAAATTTTAATATTATTTTGTTAGGCTATATTTGAGATGAATAAATAGATAAGCGTTGGAAAAACGTCATGAATAAAAGAATGCCATCTTAATTTACTTTTTATATTAAACTTCTGGTTACTCCTGGATCCGGCTTGGTACTGAGGTCACGAGGTGACTGCAGATATTTGTGTGGTGTTCCAAGGACGAACTGAGAGAATAATTCAACTATTGTTGTTTGGATATAGGCAAATAAGTTAGACATCTAAATGTTCTTAACATTCTTGCCAATTGCTTTCATGCACTGAGTCCCTAGATAAGGTGCTTGCTTCTAGAACCGCACAGGTGAGGGGACCCGCCAGCTGGTGAGCCCTGAGGACTAGGCTCACTATCGGTGATTTGGTACTGTACCAAAGTTATTTGGTAAAGAAGAAAGTTCACGTTTGGCAAGATTTGAAGCCAGAGCACAATTGCGTTACCCCCAAGTTATAGTTTGATCCAGGCTCACAAAAAGAGCACGACATATAAATATGTGAAATGTGAAAGTTGGTCATAAGGCGCGCCTATTTGGCCTTTAGCAGGTCCATAACAAGGAAATTGGCTTTTTATAACATGTATGATAGTAAATACCAATCACCAGCATATCACACTAAGCAAACTATAAATTTAATGTAAACAATAAGAGATACGTTACCTATTTCGAATCCAATTAAAATAATTTGAAATTGAAGAAGGCAATATAAGACAAAATTTAACATGTTGGTTGGCAGTCCTCCGTTAATACGCCTACTGTTTGAGTAACAATAATAGGAAGAAGTTCGGAATCAGAGGAGTGTAATAATGTCAATAAAGTTCATATAGCTTAAATATTAGTGGAAGCCGAAGTCAGGGCCATCGGAACGACACCGGATGGCTTAACCAATTTTTCTCCAACTATTATTACTTTTGAAAAATACATTGTTTTACATTACAAATAAAATAACAATATAAAATGCGTGATTGAAGTCCGCCAAACTGTCATTGCCACACGAAGATATGCTTGTGAAGCTGGCCCTGTTTACTTGGATGATACGGCAAGCAAAATTCACATCCATAAATAGATGGACATTCATTTTTGTAAAAAGAATGTGCTATTATTTTAGATGTGCAATTTTTCAAAATTTGCGCAGTCAATGGGCTGAGACGGGTATGTCCTATAATTAATTATGTATTTACCCCTGAAGGAGGAGTAAGAAAACGCTACGTTTTCGGTCAACCAGACAAAACTCTAAATCCGTTTCTTGAGAAAAAAAAAATAAAGAAGAAAAACAGACAAAATTATCTCGGCTTGTCAGAGAATATCCGGTGGATAACATTTTAGTTTTCCTAGCATTCGATTTCATAGAAACATTGTGTATTAACATTAAGCAATACAGATACTAAGATTCATTGTTAAAAGAATAAAGATAAAGTTTTGAAATAGGGTGCAGTACAAATGCTATTGATGTAACGAAAGAAAGTGAATAGAACAAACACGTCGCTTCACCTATCACGATGTATTCCATCATGAGGCTATCTAAATGAGCATTTGTCATAACAGAAGGCAATTATTTTTAATTAGTCTCATTGAATTATTATTATTATTATTATTATTATTATTATTATTATTATTATTATTATTATTATTATTATTATTGTTACTGTGGTTGTTGTTGTGATGAAAAGTTAACACAAACGATATGGTGGCTAAACGAATATCACATGTAAATATTTTTTTTAATTTATTTGTTTGTTCCCCGACAAAATTTATCGTCTTCCCCGACGGGGGGCTATGCCTCCCGACGGGGGGGGGGGGCTATAGCCCCCCAGCCCCTTCTGGCGCCACCCCTGCGCTGTAATCACACGCTCAGTAGGCTATTTGAGCCGGTGCAGGACTTATTGGTTATAAATTGTCATTTTAAGCACGGTCTGATTTATAACTTTGTAAGCATGTTTTGATCATACGAGTTTTTTTAACAGAGAAGAAATATATCCAGCTGCAGGGTGGTTCGACAGCTGCGTGGCACCCGTAAATCCGGAAAGTCCACATTGAGACAATTACGAATATTAAAGAGAGGAAAATGTATTAATGTGAATAAAGGTGCCCCAACTTATTTTTGATGATTTTCTTTGTAATAAAGATAGAACATGTACAAATATGTGTATATTATTATACTTATAGCTTAGCAGCATATATCTGTTTCATCTGTTTTAATTTTTAACAATATTATGACGTGATTTGTAAGTTAATCACAGTTATATTATTTATCAATATTATGACATTTTCGTCATTTGTATGTTAAATTAGACCAAATAATTAATTTAAAAAACATTATTCATTCTGATCGTAATAATGAAATGAAGAAAAACTTTTTGTACTGAATAATCTTTTATTTACCACCAAAAAATAATAATATTGAGCCCATTAAACATGATTTCAATTATAATGAAAGTGCTTTAATGAAAATTAAATTGCGCATGGCTCATTCAGCAAAAAGTAAACATCTTCAGTGTGCTAGTTAAACAAAGCAGCTAGGTTACGGTAATTTATATGGGCGAAAAATATTTGTCTGTAGAGGACTGTCACAGATGGGGGATGGGAGGGTATATAACAGCCCCACCATGGGTGGGGCTGAAGTAAGAAAATACATGAATATATTATCTCTAGACGACTAGAAATGGCACTTTGATCTTAAAGTTCAATATAACTTTATTTTTTAATAATTTTGATAAATTTTGGGTGATGTCAAGTCAGCTTGCAGAGAGAGAGAGACGGGGGGGGGGGAGAGAAGGGGAGAGGGGGAGAGAGAGGGAGAGAGAATAGTAAAAAATATGTAAGTTTCAATAAAGCAACAACTGAAAATTTAGGCCTATCAGTGTTCTATTTACAATTGGCATAACAAATATTTTCAAATCATAATTCACTGTCTCATAACCCACTATGTGTAACTTAAGTGATCTATTTTGGTATTCAAATTATAGATACGCTAACCGTTTATAATGCGTACATTTTATTAGAGTAGTCATTTTACGGAAAACATCAGTGATTACTTAAGTACTTGTCATATTAATCATTTCAAATCTTAGTTTCATATTGGTCCTATATTATTATTACATATATATATATATATATATATATATATATATATATTATAGGCCTATATAATATACATACATATATATATATATATATATATTAATTTCGAAGTAAAAACCAAATATATCGAACTGATATATATATAAAAAACCGTCGTTTTAGATTATATGCATTATTTCCCTTGTAAAGATACTTAATTCCTGCAATTATTAAGATAAACTTTTCATGATTACAATCATATTTATGTTATTGTCTATTATTCCATCACGACAATAACAATTACTATCTACAATCATATTATCATATAAAAATATTTAAGTTTCAATAACACAATACCAATCCTATAGGCCTATCACAGTTTTATTTACAATTGACATAATGATATTTTGATATCATGATTATTGAACTCAGAACCCACTATTTTGACAAACTATCTATTTTGGTATTCAAATTATAGACACGTTAATCGTTTACAATACGTACACATTAATACAGTAGAGTCATGCATCAGTGATTACATAAGTACATGCCAGTACTTAATCATTTCAGATCTTAGTTTCTTATTGGTCTATATTATTAGCTATAGATGAGTTATTATGAATAGGCCTAGTAAGGTAATCAGCATATCGTAACATTATTTTGTTCATACTTAAGCATACGGATCAGACTGTATATGTACGTACTATATATATATATATATATATATATATATATTATAGGCCTATATAATATACATACATATATATATATATATATATATTAATTTCGAAGTAAAAACCAAATATATCGAACTGATATATATATAAAAAACCGTCGTTTTAGATTATATGCATTATTTCCCTTGTAAAGATACTTAATTCCTGCAATTATTAAGATAAACTTTTCATGATTACAATCATATTTTATCTTGTCATGCTAGTAACAAATATTTAGTTTCATTAACACAATACCAATAAGTTAAAACTATAGGCCTATCATAATTTTATTTGCAATTGACATAATGATATTTTGATATCATGATTATTGAACTAAGAACCTACTATATTGACAAACTATCTATTTTGGTATTCAAATTATACACAGGCTAATCGTTTACAATACGTACACATTAATACAGTTAGAGTCATGCATCATTGATTACTTAAGTTCATGCCAGTAATTAATCATTTCAAATCTTAGTTTCTTATTGGTTTATATTATTAGCTATAGATGAGTTATTATGAATAGGCCTAGTAAGTTAATCAGCATATCGTAATATTATTTTGTTCATACATAAGCATACGGATCAGTCTGTATATGTATGTACTGTATATACGTATACCTATGGTATTTGATCACTGTCCCCCTATCAAGTCTCTCGGCAACTCCATCAAGAATGACTACAAGACTCTTCAGAAGGACCCCAATATATCAGAACTCTATCTTCATCCTCCGATTCTAGCTCAACGCCAACCCCCTAATCTTAAATCTCTTCTCACCTCCTCCAGTTTACCCTTGGCTAATCCTACTCGTGGTAACATGGCTTGTAACAAAAGGCGATGCCAACTATGCACTATAATTGACACATCCGATAGATTCAGAGTTCCTGGTACCAACATCATCATCCATCCTCCACCACTTAATTGCCATGCCTCCAATGCTGTTTATATTATATATTGCGCCATATAGTCCGGTGGCTTATGTCATCCCGTGAGAATTTCGTGATCATTTTGTTTTTGTTTTTTAATTATATACTTTGAAGTATGCTGAATCGAATAAAATGAGTCGCCAATTTTTTTACGCTCATCTTCATATGCAAATTAGCTGAAATATGCAAATTAGGTCTGAAAATGTAGGTTACGTTTATCTTGGTAACCACATGTCGTAGAAAGTTGCTTCTTTCTTAAAGTTGTTCAGAACATGCATGTTTCTATTTACCCTAATGGAACATTTTCTTCAAAAATGACCGGAAGTGCCATTTTGCCGACCTTATTAGCATTAGGGGTGGAAATATAGGGAGCTATATCTTGAAAACCACTGGTCGTACAGAGTTGCTTTTTGCAGCAAAATGTTTAAAACATGCATATTTATATTTACTATAATGGACAATTTTCTCTAGAAATGACCGGAAATTGTGTTTTTGACCTTTGACCTCAACTTTGCGTGA